ATCGGAGCTGGCTCTTTGTGGTCTCTCTCTCTCTCTCTGATTAGAGTTCTGGATTCAACAGGGTGGGAGGATTACCTGAGCCCAAGAGGTCAAGGCTGTGGTGAGCTGTCATGGGGTCACTGCATTCCAGCTGTCGACACTACAAAAAAAAAAAAAAAGACACAAACAAGCAAACGAAAAACTAGACATTGATTTTCTCACAGTTCTGGAGGCTGGAAGTCCAAGATCAAAGTGTCAGCAGGTATGATTCTTCCTGAGGCCTCTCTCTTTGGCTTGCAGATGGCCGTCTTGTCCCTGTGTCCTCACAAGGCCCTGGCTATCTTCTCACGGCATCCTCACATGATCATGGCCATCTTCCCCCTGCGTCCTTACACGGTCATGGTCGTCTTCTCCCTGCGTCCTCACAAGCTCACAAGGTCATGGCTGTCGTCTGGCTGTGTCCTCACATGGTCGTGGCGGTCTTCTCACTATGTCCTCTCATGGTCACGGCCATTTTCTGACTGTGTCCTCACACGGTCACGGCCATCTTCCTGCGTCCTCACACAGTCACGGCCGTCTTCTCGCCACGTTTTCACAGGGTCTTTCCTCTGGTGTCTCTGCGTGTCCAAATTTTCCCTTCTTATAAGGACACCAGACCGGTTTGATTAGGGTTCACCCTAATGGCTTCATTTTGACTTCATCACCTACTTAAAGGCCCTGTCTCCAGATACAGCCACATTCTGAGGGATGGGCCTGGGGACTAGGGCTTCAACGTGTGTGTTTTGGGAGAACACAATTCAGCCCCTAGCAGGCCGGATTGCCTCAGAGGAATGTTGTTTCCGTCTCAGTGCACACTGTCAGGAGACACACATGCACTCCTGGTTTGCCCCGTCACTGCTGATGCCACTTGATGTGTTTCTCTTTGTAATTTGTAAGTATCTGACAGGCAGATGCTTTGAGACAAGACCCTTATCCTGCTCTTCAGCAAACAATCACCCATGATGTGGCAGTTGCCACGTGGGCGGTGCTTCTTCCACTCCATCCATCCTTCCATGTTGATGTGCTTTCTGTTGTAAGAGAGAGCTTTCTGGGTGAGGCGAGTGGATTGCCTGAGCCCACAGGTTCGAGACCCATCCAGGCAATTTGGTGAGCCCTCATCTCTACAAGAAATCAAAAAAATTAGCTGGGCGTGGTAGCACGCGCCTGTAATTCCAGCCCCTTGGAAGGCAGAGGCGGAAGGATCGCCGGAGCCCAGCAAGTCGAGGCTGTGGTGGCCAGGAGCGTGCCACTGCCCTCCAGTCTGGGCGACGGAGTGAGACTCCAACTCAAAAAAGAAAAAAAAAAAAAAATAGAACGAGTTTTCCTTGCTGGGGGAGGGGAGAGCATTAGCTCAAGTCACGGAGGCCCACCCGGATTTTGCTGGGTGTTCATTGCTTGTGAACAGAGAGGC